GAGAGAGAGAGAGAGAGAGAGAGAGAGAGAGAGAGAGAGAGAGAGAGAGAGAGAGAGAGAGAGAGAGAGAGAGAGAGAGAGTCTTCTTCTTCCTCCTCTCATTCCACCATCTCTTCCTCACCCTCTCACTATCTGACTTCTCGGCCTCGGCAGACTACGAGAGAGAGAGAGGGTTGGTGACATTTGGATCCAGACTCGACATTGGGCTTTAGACATTTGACGAGGGATTATCTGAGACTTGTACCAAAGACTTGGTGTTAACGACATTCCCATCTTCCCCCTCTTCTTCGTCTGATCTCTTCCTGTTTGTCTGTGTATGGTCTGGACCTGGTGCAGTCTTCCTTTGTGTAGCGCCAGGCCGCTTCACACCTTGTGATGAAGATGATGTAAGTTTGGTCCTCATTGCAACATTGATTGGGCTAGTCATTGGTATTCTACCATTTCGCTACGTTGTCTTGTACTACGCGAGGGAGGTCAGTCCCGGTCAGGTCAGGACTTATATCTAAGTCTTCCACTACACTACAAAGCACCATTTTTGTATGTATCAGGATGTACACTGCTTGTTGAGATTCTACTAGCACTGCATTGTCCATTCAATCCTTTTTATCACATTGCGGATCCTTGGCTATATATGTACATCCCCCAACTGGGCATGTAACAAATGGCCTCCGCCTCTCTCTACCTCCTACACCTCTCCTTCTCGGCCTTGCAGCGCAAGCTAAATAGCGCAGCCTCCAATCAGCAGCGTGTCGCTCAAGAAGTGAGCTGCTCGAACTGTGTCCTGCCCAGCCTCAGCCCAGCTATAAGTAAGGCTGGGCCTGCTGGGCATCCTCAGGTACTGGCCTCAAAACGACCTACTTGGTCTGGGCCCCTACCGGGTATCCAGACCTCGCTGCTGATGCAGCGAGGCGCCAAAACGCGCCTGGCCTCAAAAAGTCCTCGTCCCTGTGAACCTGGCCCGAGGCATCGCCTGGGGCCTGTAAGTCCAAAACGACATCTGCACAGACAAAGATAAGACAAATCGTAAATAAATAAATAAATAAATAATTGAGTGTTGCCTTAGGCTGTGCCTGTGGCCAAAAAGATCGTTGTGGGCCTCGAGGGCGTGTGCTGGATGGTCTGCGGCCTGGGGGGCCCTCAACAACCGCTGGGCCCCACAAATGGGCCCCGTGTGCAGGTGCAGCATGTAACACTCCCCACTCCTTCTGAAGTCAAGCCGGGTCGATGGCGAAGGTGACGATCTGAAGGTGGAACCTGGACGAGGGTGCGACGTGGATCTGAAGCGCGCGAGAACATCTGAAGTTGTTGCTTGCAGTTCCGCCGGGTCAACCAACGGTCAACTTTATGGGTGCAGTACGCAAAATGTACCAAGTATTCAGTCAGCCTGTTGCCGTAGCCTCGCTGGGAGATGATGTCGCCAACCTCTTGAAAACCGTCCATAAAGGGTGGGTCTTGCGATCGTCGCCCATGAAAGTCGTTATGTTCCGCTGGCGTGTAAAAAGCCAACTTGGAGCAGTGAAAGACCGGGTGGACGGGCAAGTGGGCGGGCACCTGAATGACAAATGAAGGTCATTTGGGTGTATCCCCAGCGGGTGCCACGATCGGCCAGGGCCCGATCCATTTCGGGAGGAGCTTGTGAGAGATATCTTGCTCGAGGCTGAATTCCGCAGCGGAGAGCCATACGAGATCGTCGATGCGAAATGGACAAGGACGACCCTGTCGATTGGCTTGTTGGCTCATGCATTGCTGCGTCTTTGCCATCTGGTCGCGTGCCTTGACAAGTAGCTCTTGCATCCGACGCAAGAAAAGAAGATGGTTGTCGCTCTTGGCCGCCCGTGGGATGATCGTGTCCAACGGAGAAGTGACCGGTGAACCGTGCTCGAACTCAAAGGGAGACATCCCGATAGCTGGATGAATGGACGAGTTGTATGCCAACTCGACATCCGACAACCGCTCAACCCAATCCTTTTGGTTGGGGCGGATGGGAGCGTAAAGGAGAACCTGTGCTGTATGATGTGCCCTCTCTGTTTGGCCCATCGGTTTGGGGGTGGCGAGCCGAACTCGGCTTGAGAGATGAGCCCCATCGTTTGATGAGCGCCAACCAAAAATCGGACATGAACCGAGTTTCATGGTCGCAAACGATTTCCTTGGGGTAACCCTTGGTTCGAATCCAAACGACGTAAAGAACCTCAACCAACTCCGGTGCCTTGGCATGATAGCGGCAAGGCAAAAACATGGCGAACTTGGTGAGTCGGTTGACCACCGTGAGAAGCACATCCACACCGGCCTTGTGCTTGGGGAACGGCCCGGTAATGTCCATGGCAATCACTTCCCTTCGGCGCAAGGGGACCGGTAATGTTCGCAACTCGCCGTACGAACGATGGTTGCGGGATTTGCAGCGTCGGCAAACCTCGCATGACTTGCAATAGCGTGTGACGTCGCCGAGAAGGTCGGGCCACCAAAAGCGCTCACAGAGTCGGCCAATCGTTCGCTTGACCAAAGTGTCTAGTGGCGGGAGCATCGTGGAACTCGCCAAGAAGWCGCGTACGCAAGTGAGGATTACTTGGCATGCAAAGAAGGTCCTTCTCCCGCGTGTTGACAAACAAGTACCCTCTTGGATCCGATAGTGAGAAGGCGCCGGATTAGGAGAGGAGCAATTCGCATACTTGTCGCGAAACTCGGGGTCGACTTGGTAGTCGTGGATGAAGCTGTCCCACAGGTCGTCGTCGATCTCGAAGGTCAAATAGACTGCAATACAATGATCCGGACACCGTGAAAGAGCATCCGCAAAACGGTTAGACTTCCCCGGAATGTGATCGGGAAAGAAGTCGAATTGGTCGATGAAAGCCATCGAACGGGCGATGGTGTTGTTGACCGTTTCTTGGGTCTTGTAGAAGACCAACGGATTGTTATCCGTCACCCATCGGAATTGGCTTTGACCAAGGAGAAAATGCCACCACCGCTTGAGCACGTGGACGAAGGCTAGGAGCTCCTTCTTTCGTGCATCATCGATTGAGTGCACGACCGACACTTTCTTGCTGAAGTACTCGACCGGGTGCCAGTGCACGCCATCGTGTTGTTTGAGGACGGTGCCAATGCCATAGCCGGATGCATCAGTAGTGACGCGCGTTGGCAATAGCGGGTTGTAAATGCGCAAGATCTCCGCGGATAATAATGCGGCTTTGAGGGCCAAAAATGAACCCCGCGCATCCTCACCGAAGTCGAACGGCCGATCCTCGCTTTGAAGCTTGGTTAAGTGGGCCGTGATCTTCGAGTATCCCTTGATAAAACGTTGGTAGTAGCTGGCAAGGCCAAGAAACGAACGGACATCTGTGACGTTCCGCGACTCCGGCCACTCTTGGATGGGTTGAATCTTGTCCGACAACAGACTGATGCCCTCCGGTGTGACAAAATGGCCCAAGTATTCCAGCTCTTGCCGGACAAATTTGCACTTGTTGCGGTTGACTTTGTACTTGGCGCAGTGGAGCGTCTCCAACACTCGTCGAAGGTGCTCCAGATGATCCTCCAAGGTCCTGCTATAGACGAGGATGTCGTCTAAGTAGCACGAACCAGTCCAACATCGCACGAAACTCATTGGTCATTGCCGCTTGAAAGGTCGTCGGGGCATTGGTGAGGCCAAAAGGCATGACCACCCCCTCAAAATGCTTGTACCGCGTCTTGAACGCGGTTTTACAGCGATCATTCGGGCGTATTGAAATCTGATGATAGCCAGACTTCAAATCCAACTTGGAAAAGTACTTTGGGCCGCCCAATCGCTCAAGGAGATCGTCAATACGAGGAAGAGGCCCCACATTCTTGACGGTTTGCCCGTTGAGCTTGCGGTATGCACAGTCCTAGATCCTTGTTCTTCTTCCGTACAAAGAGAACTGGTCCCCATATGGTGAGCTACTAGGGCGGATCCCACTCTTGTCCAACAAGTCGTTGAGTTGTGCGTGGAGGACCGTAAGCTCCTCCTCACTCATCCGATAGATGCAACGTTTCGGTGGCACGACACCGGCCTCAAGGATGATCTCATGAGAGATCAGCCGATCCGGCACCACACCGTTAGGTGACTCGAAGATGTCGGTAAACTCGTCAAGCAACCGCACCGCACGGGGGTCCGAAGACAAGTCCGTGGGTGAAGAGTCGACTACCGCAACGGTCCGTAGGAAACATAGGCCTCACCGGGCTGCTCGTAAGCACAAGTACCCTGGAATGACTTGGCCGCCACCACTTGGCACCGGACCGAAGGGCGCCGAAGAGGAATAGTACACGACACTTCGGCGCTGAGGGCATCCCAGACGGTAAGAATCCGCCGGTGGAAGCCAAGGCATTCCCAGAATGATATCGAAGTCTGTGTCCAAAATGTCGAACGTCACCGGTTCACATGCATGAGGTGTGAAATACACGGGGACGGCCTCGATGTAGCGGTCGAGCAGTTGATGTATCTTTCCGTCCACCAACTTGATCGTCGTCGGGTTTGCCTTCCTCCGAACTTGTGAGCCAATGCCAACCCTTTGCATAAAGACTTGGCTCATGAAATTGGGAGTCGCGTCGCTATCTAGCAAAGCGTTGCGGGACGCTTGCCCGGGTTGGATCCGGACATAAAGGAGTGGTGGGTTGTTGTCAGCGTACCGCTGCGTGCGAAACTCGCGGGCCACCTTGGTAACATACGCAAGGATGCCCCCCACCGCAACTTCGTTATCTGTCAATGAAGTTGGTGGTGCATAGAAGGATAGGTACGTGTGAAGATGAGCGCATAGTGTTGCGCATTGCGGTCTCGACAAGCGGCCCGTGGTAGGGAGAGGAAGCCATGCGAAATCCTTAGATGTGGTCGGGTCCAATACCTCTATGTTGAGCTCGCGCACCGAATCCCGTGAAGAACCACTTGAAGACGATAAGTCGTCACTGCCGGACGGAGTAGATACCGCACACGCGTCTTGTCCTTGAGCATAAGTACCCAGCGTAGGAACGAGCTGGGCAACATGGTCCTCATAAGAATATAAGATGGGAGGTCTATTGACTTTCACATGCGCCTTGGAACGAAGGGCAGTCGCCCGCGTAGCAACCGGTTCCGAAGGCGTCGAGAGTGTCGTCCACTCACTCCCGACGGTGCTCTATTTCCCGATTGTTTGCCCTTGCCTTTCAGAGGACAACCCACTATTTCGTGGAGATCGTTGTTGCACCACAAACAATAGCGGAATCTCGTGCGTAACTTGTATACGTGCTCCAAGAGACCATAGTGGTTCCATGGGTCTTGAGCTGCTGTGCCGGGCCCGGGTTTTGACGTGGTGTTTGTCTTCGATTTGTCGTGTCCTTGGCCTTTGCCGGGGCGGCCACCATCCCGGGCGGCTGCGAGTCTGTCCCCCTTATTGGCAGACAAGGCCTCGCTTGAAGGGTCAATCGGCGTTGCCACCACGACCACGACCACCTTTGGCCGATGATGTTCTCTACTAGGGCCTGCCGCAAACGAACGGGGAAGGTTCTTGGCCTCTGTGTTTGTGACAATAATATGTGCGGCCTTGTCGAAGAGCTCCGCTGTTGTAGTGAGAGTCTCTGCAACATGAGTCAATGCGTTGGATAGTGTCGGACACGACCTCGTAATGAAGTAGTGTTTGATGGCTGTAAAGCCTATGGGTACATCCGGCGTTAACGCCAAGCGTTGGAACTCGACAATCCAATCGCTGCTCGGCAACGTGCCTTGTTGGAAAGTCAGCAATTTGTTTATTGCTTTGATTTCCGACGGCTCTATTTGGAACCGCTTATGCCACGCCGCCTTCATATCATCCCAGCTGACCTTGGTATACAAGTCGGCAGCCACCACCCCGTACTTGGACAAGAGATTGTCCAACCACCACGTGGCCCCCCGATCGGGAGTACAAATACGTGTGTTTCTTCTCCTCGCTGGTGTGGTGGAGCTGTAACTTGATCTCAAACTTGCGGAACCACGGAATTGGGTCTGTCTTCGTAGAGTCGCAAAAGATCTCCTGGCCATCGAACTTCGGAGTCGTTTCGCGTGGTGATGTGCTCGAGTTAGCGGCGGCAGCGCAGATCCGCTGCTCAAGTTGTTGAGTTGCGGTTTGCTGTCCGCGCCGTTCTTGAGTGCTCCAACGTCGACTTCCAATGCATCAAGGCGATCAGAAGTGTTGGAGGAGCTGGCTACAGGGGTGGCGACGGGTCGTTGCTCCAGCTGCTGAAGCGGCTGCTGACTCGCTTGACCTCGTAGTCGAGCGAATGGATGTCCTCCTGTTGTGCAATGCGCGTCGCTAGGAGGTCCATGACGTGGGAGAGTAACAGCGCGATCTGGAGTTCGTTGTTGCCCAGCTGACCACCCTCGGCCTCGGACCGCCATTCCGCTGCCATGTTGAGCAAGGCTCGCTCTCCTCCGAATATCTTCTCGCGTCGCATGTTGCATTCCTCGTCGGCAGCCTTTGCTGCTGCCTCGTCGTGCTGGCGCTTCTGTTCGATCGCCAGCAGGCGTGCTTTCTCTACATCCCCGTCCTTCTTCTTCTCTGCGGCCGCTACCGCATCCGACCGTTGTTTGGCCTCATTGATCAAGGTCTGCATTCGGGCCTGATAGGCCTCGGCCGTTTCCCCTGGCTTCTGGTCCATGACGGCTGTTTGAGAGCGCGTGAGCATACACCAGGCCGGAGGACTGCTGACGTGGCACTCCCTGCTGCTGGCGTGGCACGGCTGTTGGCTGACATGTCGCTGATGTGTCACTGTTGACATGGCCTGCTGACGTGGCCTGCTGACATGGTCTGCTGACATGGCCTGCTGACGTGGTCTGCTGACGTGGTCTGCTGACATGGCCTGCTGACGTGGTCTGCTGACAGTCCCTATCTCCCTACTTGGCGCTCGGCGCCCAGCCTACTCCCTACACAGCTACTACTACTGGCCTACTAATTGACAATGCAACTGTTGACATCAGCAGCCTCCGAAGTACTTGAAGATGTCGCCCATGCAGACCATCGCCAATACCAGGTATATGCCCTGTCTCTTATACACATCTAGATGTGTATAAGAGACAGGGAGGAAGAAGAAGTAGACGACGACGAAGAAGAAGAGGACGAAGACGAAGACGAAGAACTACAGGACGAAGAACAGGAAGAAGTAGAGGAGGTGGAGAGAGAGAGAGAGAGAGAGAGAGAGAGAGAGAGAGAGAGAGAGAGAGAGAGAGAGAAACTGACCTGTGGATGGCGACTGAGCTAACGGGCGTGGAGTGACGCGTCCTCGCGAGGGCGCACATGCGCTCGTCGTCGAGAGGGCGGCACCTGTAGGGACACAGGGGCAGGGCTTGACACGGCGGCGGACGCGGGCGGGCGGTACCCCCCCATCGACATTCAAAATTCAAATTTGAATTCGGCCTGATCTGGGTCGTGGATAGGATCGATCCGACGGCCCAGGTCAGGCCTTCATGTTTCGATAATTTTGGAGGCCCTGCTGGCCTCGGATTTTGGAGACCGAGGTCCAGCAGCCCCCCACCCCAACCACCAGCCTCCTAAACCCCCAAAACCTCCTCAGAGGCCCGGCCCCTATTTTCCGCAGGGCCCAGACTTTTGGCGGTCACCGGACCACCGGCCCGGTGATCCGGTCGGACGACCTGGACGTCCCGGGGGGGGCCAGACGTCCGATGAAACAACCTAAATCTTGACGGTGTGTCTTGCTTTAATTGTTTTTCCGTCATGTCGCTCTGTAGTTCCTTTTGAGACCTTCCCATGTCCCCACCACTTGTCTCGCGCTAGTCCCCGCCGCTTTGTCCCGCCAGTGGTCCCCGACACTTGACCCGCCGGTGGTCCCCGACGCTTTGTCCCGCCGGTGGTCCTTGACACTTTGTCCCGCCAGTGGTCCCCGACACTTTGTCCCGGATACCATTATTGTTACTTAGTCTCATGTGGTCCCCGGTCCCTATCCTCAAGGTGTCCCATGTTTCTTTGGCATCTACCGCCCTATGGTGACCCCTCTCCTTGTCCTTTCTCGGGCCTTGCGCGCCGGTTTCTTCGGTCTCGGGCCTCCAATCCGTGGTTTCCGTTAAATGGTGTAGGCGGCCCCCATGTTGGGCCCTTATTTTCTAGCGTCCCGCGGCCACCAGGGCCGTCCATCCCTTAGCTTCCCTATTCTTTTGTCATCCGCCGTGCCGCTCTTGCTAAGTTAATGGCCCCTTGGGTCCCTGTCATGTCGACTTCTAATGGCCCTCCTGGCCCCATGCTACGCCCCTATGCGCCCCTTGTCCTGTTACTTACTTGCTTAACATTGTCGGGTTCTTTATCCCGTGGTACTCAGCTCAGGTCACCATTCCTCCCGGCGGCCCCTGTCTTAGTCCTTCGTCTTTTCTCTCTCTCTTGTCTCTTTTCTTCGGATTTCTCTGTCGTGCACAACTTGGCTATATACAGGCTCTCGAGTGCCGGGACGTTATTCGGGACCCACAGGTCCCGACACCGTACGGCGAGTTGCGACCATTCCCGGTCCCCTTGTGTCGGAAGGAAGTGATTACCACGAACATTACCGGTCCGTTCCCCAAGCACAAGACCGGTGTGGATGGGATTCTCATGGTCGTCGACCGAGTCACAAAGTTTGCCATGTTTTTGCCTTGCTGCTACGATGCCAAGGCACCGGAGTTGGCCGAGGTTCTTTACGCTGGTTGGATTTAAACCAAGGGTTACCCCAAGGAAATCGTCTGCGACCGCAACACTCGGTTCATGTCCGATTTTTGGTTGGCGCTCATCAAACGATGGGGCTTATCTCTCAAGCCAAGTTTGGCGCGCCTACTTGGTACACTTTGTATACTGCACCCACAAACGAACGCAAGATGCAAGGCGAGCCGGTATCTTCGGCTCCACGTCGCACCCGCGTCCAGGTTCCACCTTAAGATCGTCAGCTTCGCCCTCGACCCGACTTGACTTCATAAGGAGGGGGGGGTGTTACATGCTGTGCCTGAAACGAGGGCCATTTTCGGGCCCTGTGTTGTTTTCAGCCTAAAAGCCTGAAAACAAGGGCCTACAGGCCCTGTGTCGTTTTCAGCCTAAGAACCTGAAAACAAGGGCCTACAGGCCCTGTGTCGTTTCAGCCTGAAAGCCTGAAAAACATGTCCCACAATCTTTTTGAATCATTCGTCCCCTTGGACAGAGGAGGAAGAGGACCTACAGGCCCTGTGTCCTTTCAGCCTGCAAGCCTGAAAACAAGGGCCTACAGGCCCTGTGTCGTTTCAACCTAAAACAGGGCTCTCTAGGCCCTAAGTCTTTTCAGCCTGAAACAAAGGGCCATTTTCAGGCCCTCATAAAATCGACCTGCCCTGAAACTTAGGCACCAGACCCAGGTTTTAGCACAGGCCATTTTGGGCCTGTTTTCAAGACAACCTTTGTTTGAGCTTCAACGCCAGGGTCTGGCACGTTTTGGCATTGGCAAGAGCAGCCTCCTGGGCGGGCCGACACTATATAAGACTGACCCGCCCTGCAGACTGCGGGTAGTTCATAGGGACTTCCCAGGCACTTCACTTGCAGTTCAGGAGGCAGGAGGTAGTCTTCGGGATTCGGCAGCAGCACTCTGGAGGAGCGCTGCAGTAGTAGTAGTAGCGTTAGCAGTAGCCTTCAGCGTTGGGCGCAAGTAGGAGTTAGAGTAGCACTGGAGAGAGAGGGAGATTGGGTGGAGGCCAGGGAAACTTACCTGCAGCGCCATAGCTCTAGCTTCGTCTTCGAGGTACCTGCAGCACAGCGCCACATTTAGAGGTTAGTACCTGGCACATGAGAGAGAGAGAGAGAGAGAGAGAGAGAGAGAGAGAGAGAGAGAGAGAGAGAGAGAGAGAGAGAGAGAGAGAGA